TCCTGCTGAGGTTTATTTGCATGAATGAGGTTTCTGTTTCAGGTCTGGTGGAAATACACTTTTACTAATGATGTTTCTAGGATGTAATAGGTGGTTTTCCACCACAAATGTTCCTTTAGCCAAGCAATATTTGAATCAGACCAAACTTAAGCTGCCGCTCGTGATTATAATACCAAATATTTTCTTGCTTAGTGTGGAAATTCAAGCACAAAAGTCTTTCTGGTCTATTTGCCACAACACCTCCTCTCAAAAAGGTTAAGAAGAGGTGAAAAGGATGAAAAGGCACTTGCAGGGTATAAAAAAATCTTCTATGGAAAAAAAAAAAGCATCTTTCATATCACAAAAAAGTCTCCCCCAGGTTGTTATGTGCATAAGGTGGAGGCTTAAGAGCAGACACATTTGCAGATGAACTGCTTTTACTAGCTTCTCCGAGACATGACATTTGTTCAGAAGATTAGCCAGGTTGTAATGTGTAGCATAATTGCGCTGTGCGGATGTCCCAGAAGTGGGAACCTAATTGCTTGACAGGCCTATAACTTTGTGGTAGGCTCTCACCTTGTTAGGTCCTTTTCGGCGGCGCAGCCTGGCCGCAGGTGTGCCTCATTTACCTCGCCGCGGAGCGCGCGGCCTTTAATTGCACAGCGGTTGTTAGGAAAAATTGGTGGGTGGAATATCAAGTGACTCGCTGCGCGCGGCTGGCAGATGGGCGGCGAGAGGCATCGCCGGCTAAGTGTATAGGTGAGGGGAGTTAATAAAAGATGGAAATTTTAGCTTAAAATGGTTGGAAGTCTTTGGAGGAGGTAATACATTTTAATTAAGGTGGTTGCGGTCCCCTCGCTGGTGGCAGGGGAAAAATTCCGAGCGAGGGAAGATCACAGAGACCACATTTTTCTCCGTATCAGTATGTTAGGAGCAGCTTAGGATGCTTTGGAAGGCTTCTCCTGCAGGACTGTACTTATTAAAAAGACTACGTTTGCCTGTGCCATGCAAAATGCAGCAGGGAGAGGCAAATCTGGAAAGGCTTGTGTCCTCATTCTGTTGAAGTTTGAGACACGACCAAACCGAACTCCAGTGCAACTCCTTGCTTTGTCCTTCCACAGCAGTCTTACCTCAGGAGCAAGCAGAGAAAAATGCCTGCCCCTGTTCTCTTGATGGTAGGAATGGGTTTGTAGCATCCATGGTCCTTCCTGGTCAGCTGAGAGGAATGATCAAGCCAATTGTCTTCTCCAGGCGAGCTTTGAGAAATGTTGTACCTGGGAAGATGGTTTGCAACTTGTGTTGTCTTTTCCTGGAAGTCTTGTCTTGATGCCACCTGTGCTCCATGAGCTCTCTGAAAGCACGTATTAAAAAATAAAATACCTCACTGTCAAGGAATGCAGGAGAGCTGACATGCTGTGTTCACCCCAGCTTTACTGTTTAGTCCAGTGCTCAGGTTTATCCTGGTAAACATGAAGATGTCTAATTCCAGCAAGTATGGTCTTTTTCGGCAAATAATTGAAAAAATAGCAGTTCCAGTTGATGCTTAGTGAAAGGTTGCTTAATGGGCCCTTTTTTTTTTTTTGATGTGAGCTCTCTGTATGGAAACAATTCATCATGAATGCTTCATGTTAAAAACAAACCACAAGGAGCAATACTTAGCATTCCTAGTGCACAATTCATTGGAGACTTTGAGAGCAATTTACAAACATTAGCTCAATAAGCCTCGCAACACCCATTTGAGAACAGGAAAAAAAAAAAAAAAAAGTAGATAAGATACTCCTCTCCAGCCTGGCTGTAGTACTGAGGAGCTGTGAAGCTGGAGTCTCTCCCTGCCTCCCCTGTCTCAGTGGTCTTGAACCCACGTGGTTATCAGTTGGTCCTTGCACACCATCACAGTCCATGCAGTGGAAGGTGTGCAAGAAATGCCATTCTGTTTAGCCTACATTCAGTTGATCTGGAGATTGTAAGTATCTTAAAAAGCTAACAAAACGGTATATAAAATTAGGGTGAGGGTTTTGTGGGCTCACTGGTAGTGTCTCTGCAGTGTTGTCCAGAAAACCTGAGTGTAAGTGAGCATCCAGGCTAGGAGATTGTGTCAACCACAGTGGAAATTCATCTCTCTGTCAGCTCCATCGCTAGAACCCCTTCACACATTTTGGGATAGGAGGTTTTAACAAAAAAATCTATCCAGCTGAACTGGCAGCATCCATTTATTTATGCACAGTTTCAGTGAATCTTTCTGTTTCCTTCCTTGCCTATCTCATGTGAGAGGCTGCATCTCCAGCATTATCATCCTGTATGAATATTAGGGTCCTGAAAAGGGAGACTGATGATTAAAAACATGCGGTGCAGCCGTGGTCGTACTCTCTGGCTGCAGTTGGGCCTTGTTGGGTGCTGAAGAAGGGAAGAGACACCTGGCTTGCCTCCTGCCAGGAGCTCTGTTGGCACACAAACTTCTGTGAGGTGTATGTAAACAGTGAGAATAGTGACAGCCCTTACAAAGATTTGCATGAATTAATATTAGTTGTTGATACTGTAAAAGGAAAGGCTCTGTGTAACCTTGCTATTCCATGTGTATGAAGTTGGGCAGCACAAGCTGCTGTTGGTGCATCTGAGAAGCTCTGGGTGAGGAGAAGGTCCTGAGCCTTGCCTGGCATTAGCTGTCAGTCATCAGCCAAAAAGCAGACCCACAGAACATTTTGTTAGTTATGAATCCTGAAAACACATCTACATAAAGGAAAGGGGAGGCATCAGGCTATGAGCATCCTCCTGAGTGGGGTGGTAGGGACACCCATCCTGCATGGCCTGGAGGATGGAGACCTCCTGTATCAGCTCCCTCCTCCAGTACAGGAGGGCAGCATGAAGGAGTTTGCACCTTTCCAAGTTTTTCCCCTTCTAAGTGCTCACTGTGCTCCCTGGAAGCAGCGTTGCCAGAAGAACGGTTGATGGGGAGCTGCCTGGATGAGGAGGGTTAGTCCTAAATAATTGCTGGTTGCTGCTCAGCAAAAATGAGCTGGATTTCCATCCCCGGGTAGAGTGACTTGTTGCAGTTAAAGGCTGGCAAAGGTTGAAGAGGTCATAAGATAGGGCCTAATTTGCCATGTTCCTCTCCTTTCAAAAACAATGAGGGAACTGGGGCCTTGCTGGTGGGCAGATCCTGCCTGGATCTCCCTGGAGTGAGCAGGAGTTGGATCAAGTCCCTTTGAATAACGAGAGAGTTTCCAAACTGGAGGCAAAGCCAAGTGGTTTTTGGAAGATTGATCACTCATCACCTTGGAATTTTTCACATAGAGGTCATTACTGCTAATATAAGTTGTGAAAAAAATAAAATGTTTAAAAAAATAGAGACAGATTCTCATCTGGTGTAAGTCATTGCCTTTGAAGTCAATGAGTCATTGAAATCAACTTTCCCACATTGGGCTAAGGATATGGCTTGGAGTCAATACATTTGTAGTTGTTGAAAAATTAAAAATATAAATTTGCCTTTCCCTGGCAATAATGTTCTGTTTACAACAGAGATCTTATACTTTAAAATAAGTTCATTAACTAATAGGAAAGTAATATTTCACTACCAGTATTCTTGTGGGTATAACCATTTATGATTAAATTTTATTAAACGTTTTAAAGAATTGGATTTACATTTTGATGAATCTAATAGATTTCAATTTTGTATTTTTATAGATTCTTTCTAAAGTTTTTCCTCAAGTGCAATCAGAACTGTTTGAAGAATGCAGGCAACCCGCGAGACATGCGAAGATTCCAGGTACAGATCCCTCTGAAAGAGTAAATGATATAGAAAAGGCTTAACTCACATCTTCACCTTGAACTTATTAAATGAAAACCCATAATCAGTGCTTCTACTTAGTGTAGTGCCAGTGCTCTGTGTTTTTTTTTTTTTTAAAAAAAAGTGCTGTTGCTGTTTTGCATTTCCTCTGCTAACTTAAAGGTTGGTTGTTGGGGCTGGCTGAGTTCTGCGACAGGCTGTAATGGGTGGATGCTGGAGCCAGGGGGTCTCTCCTCACAGAGCATTTCTGCAGTTTTCCTTTGTACTAACACCTTGCATCGCAGTGTGCTGTGTGCTCAGACCTGCACAGGTTTTACCTGTATACACCCAGTAGCATCACCTTGCTGACAGACACCACCGTGGCACCCAGGGAAGTCTGGCTCTTACAAAGGGGTTTTTCACCTAGCTTGTAAATCCAGCAGTGGTGGTCCAGCCCATGCAGTTTTAGTCCAATTGTGTTAGAAAATGTTTAATACTTTCTCCTTACAGCTTTTGAAATACTCTGTGGTGAACCATAACACCACAGAGAGGCAGCTGCTGTGATGGACAAATGATTTCCTCTGGATTTGGGGTCATTTGAAATGCTTGTTAGGAAATAGATGTTTTTAGTTTCCAGATATTTCACAGTGATTCATATTTGAGCCTAATAATAAACTAGTATTGAGATGTTAAAAACTTTCATATTTTTGAGAAGAATAACTTTGTGGTTAGACTTGATAGCAAAATATGTGACATCTGTTTTCACGCACAGCCAACCAACCGGTGAAGCCAGCACCCTTGAGCCAGCCAACAGAAAAGTTCTGTAGCTGGGAAAAAAAAAAATACTTCTTCAAAACAGTTGAGCCAAGCTTCCATTTTTCATGCATCTCAGCCTCACGTGGCATCGGTGATATTGATCCATCTGAACAGAACAGAAGGTCAAACCTGGAATGAGTGGAAATGTCCTCTTTGTCTCACCGATGACTAAATGAAGCATCAGTCATGAGTGATCTTGTGGTCGACAATGGAGCCAGTAGGCACTAGAAAGACTTTCCTGGGTCTCTTTAGCTAATCTCCTTGCCTCTCAGAAGGTTTAACTGGACTTAACAGTATGTCAGATCTTGCACAATATTTTTAACTGGTTTCACTGTCTCAGCACCTTTCCTTAGGTGCTCTGCAGGAATAAGCTGATATAACAAAGCATTGCATGTCGACTTTCTTCTGCTGAACTACAGTATTTTCCCTTGGTGACTGACCTATATATACATGACAGAACAAAAATAGTTGTCATTTTTATATACACCTTTCTCTGTCTTTTTAATACACCGTGTTCTAGGAACCAAATCCCAGAATCTTTGCTGAAAACCACGCTTGTGTGTTTTGTGATATTTCTTAAAAGAGGGCAAATCTCACTCAAAGTGCAAGCAGATAGCCCAGTGGCCTGGCAGCAGCTCTGTGGCCGTGGTGAGCAACCTCTGCACCCTCCACAGTGGATGTTGGCCAGAGTGGAAGTGACCACTGCTGGGAGGAGAAGGGTGTGGAGCAGAGCAGGCTGGCAGGCTGCCCTGGGGCTGTTGGAAAGGGTGCCACAGATGGCTGTCTCAAAGGAGGCAGGAGGCACAGAAAAGGTGCTGTGATAGCTGAAAGCTAATTGTGGCTTGGGAATAAGAAAGAGGATCAGAGGTGATCCAAAACACAGAAGCAGACGAGAATTTCTTCTGATGCCTTGGGCCAGCTCTGTGCAAAAAGAGCTTTTCCCCTTCCATTTTTGTTCATTTGGGTAAAGGTGCTGGTGTGAGAACCCTGGCAATCAATTTTGGTATATCCAAAGATAAAATAAATGGCAGATGAAAGCTGGAATTTGTACTAGCTGTTGCTGCTGTCACCAGCATGGCTGATGAGGCCAGACTCGTCATTGACTTTAAGGACTTGACTAACATTAAATCCCAAAGAAAATGCTTTGGGGGGATTAGTGCATTTAGAAAATCTGGAACCCACCCCACCCACCCAGGGCCCATGCTGGAGTATTGAAATAAGATGTAAAAGTCTATCTGGGACAATAGTGATGGACCTGTGGAGCCAGGTTCCACACACACCCAGGTGCATCGCAGGGTTTCCTCTTGGGCTTGTGCTCCTGCGGTACCATTTCCGGAAGGAATTTCATAACTCCATTGTGTAGGTGTTTCTAAACAGGAAGGTTGTGCATTTTGCATATGTTCCTTTTCCATTTTCTACTAAGAAGCAGCTGGAAGCCAAAGAAGGCCCTATCCATCATCTCTTCTATGGCCGGACTCTGAACCTGGACACAAGAATAGGAGCCTTTCACTCAAAAATAAAGGAGGAAATTCCATTGACATACCAGGGTCAATCACCATCCAAATGAACTTGAGAAGGGATACTTTTCATGGATTGAAAACACTTTCACTATTCATATTCAACTGGGTCCTTTCAGATGCAAAAAAGTTCATTATCAGACATTAAATGTAATTGTAAAACTGACCTGGAGATCATTTACTGAAGAAAAAAATGGGGAGTTAGGACGGTTCCTGATTTATTAAGCTTTTTTTATTTGGAATCCTCACAACCTTTCATTTGAAGGCAGTCTCAAGTGAACAAATTTTAATTAGATAAACTATCTAATCAATATATCAACAGATCAATCAAAACAGCAGCTTTTAAAATGAGTGGCTAGAGGGGTGTTTCTGAAACTAATGGCTAGAAGAATATTTCCCTGAATTGAATTCATTTGTTAGCATAATAGGAGATTAAACTCTAATTAGTGGAGCAGGTTCTGAAGAGAAACAATTGTGGGTTAAAAATCACCAGTCTTAGCCACATAAACAAAATGTATTCATAGTTGTCATTCACTTCATTTACAGCCAAAAGTAACGGGGCTGTGATGTCGCTTTGTCTTAAAAGAGGATCTGCTTGCGTAGCTGTGTTGGTGAAAATCTGCAGGATTTTTTTAAATTCCAGGTTTTTTTTTTGTTTTTCCTCTGCAGGTTGTTGTATCAACAACAGTCAATGTGGATGGCCACGTGCTGGCTGTCTCAGACAACATGTTTGTACACAACAATTCCAAACACGGGAGGCGGGCTCGCCGCCTTGACCCCTCAGAAGGTACGGCCCCTTCTTATCTGGAAAATGGTAGGCACACATTTACATGTCTTTTTTTTATTTGCAATGCTTTTTTTTTTCTTTTTCCTTTTTTTTATTTTTTTCCCCCCTTTTTTGGCACCATATTTTATGTTGATCCACGACTACATTTACTTTTACATAATTTCTGCTCTCATCCATCAAACCACCCATTAAAAAAGTCCATTAGTATTTCTCAGCCCTTGTCAGGCAGGATACAGGCGCTTCTGAATTTGCTTCTGACTTCTCTCTTTATTTAATACTCACAGTTTTGCAGTCACAACCAATTTTTCATCTTTTTCTATTTATTTATTTTTTATTTTTTTCAGTCTTGTTTTGCTTGCAGCTTTTTCTTGCTATTTAATTTGACTTGATTTTATTTTGGCTTGTCATATTCCTTGATCCAGAGATACAGGCTCAGGTTATGTATGCAAGTTTAAGTGGATGGTAAAAACATGACCCAATCTGTAAAGAATTTACTGTGAGGTCAATTTCCTGTGGCTGGGCCTTGCTGCAGATTGCAGCAGGAGGGGGTTTGTATGAGAAAAACAGCATAAAATGTTTTTCTTCAGACTGACTCAATGTGATTGACTTCTTGCCTGAACTGCTATAAGAAGATAGTC